GGGCTGCTGCATAAATCGGTTTGCTCTGGAGCCCTCCTTCCTGAGCCAAGCCAAAAAACGTGTGAGCCAGAGGCTAAAAAACTGCGAGCCGGGGCACACTGACTCAGCGTCAATGCGCCCTCTAAGCTGTGGAGTCCTGTGAGCAAAGATTCTGCTTCCTGAGCTACTATAGCATGAAAGTTGTGAGCAAACGATTGGGCTGCTGCATAAATCAGTCTGCTCTGGAGCCCTCCTTCCTGAGCCGAGACAAAAATGTGTGAGCCGGAGGCTAAAAAGCTGTGAGCTGGCTCACGCTAACTCAGCTTAGAGGGAACACTGGCTGGATGACCTCAGACCCGCAGGGTTTGGAGCAGCTCCGCCTCACTGGCATCAGGGGGGGGGGCAGTGCCGGATTTACGCATAAGCCAAATGAGCTACAGCTTAGGGCCTCGCAATCCCCTGGGGCCTCAAATAAAAACACAATATTAAAAAATGATTTCAAATATTTAAAAAGTGTATATATTTTAAATTTTCCTGAGACCAGCTGATGTAATTTAAAACAGTAGGGGGCCTCTGGGTTTTGTATAGCTTAGGGCCTCAGCAAGTCTAAATCCGGCCCTGGGGGGGGGTGTCTCTTCCAGCGGGGGGACGGGATGAGCGGGCTTCTTCTCAGGAGGGCTGCTGCTTCTAGGCTTCGGGTCCGGGAGGAGCCTGGGACGCCTCTCTGGGATTCCCTCCTCTGGCCGCGGGTCCCCGTCCCCCCAGGCTCCGGCACCCCCCAAGTCCCCGGCGGCAGTTCCGTCTCCTTCTCTGGCCTCTCGGCCCTTCCGTTCCCCCTCGTCCTGCTGCCTGGGAAGAAGCCGTCGAAAGGGGCGGCCGGCAGCCCTGCCTCTCGCGGGGACGAGTCCCGCCAGCCAAGGAGACGGCCGCCCCCCCCCCCAAGTCCGAACACTGGCTGGGGCGCGAAGAGGTGGGGAGGGGGCCCTGCAGAGTCTCTAGGCGCTGGGTGCAGATCTCGACGCCCTTCCTCTCCAACCAGGCTCCGTTTTTTTAGACTCCCAAGTCCAATGTTCCCTCTAAGCTGTGGGGTCTTGTGAGCAGTGTTCCCTCTAAGCTGAGTTACTGTGAGCTGGCTCACACGAACTCAGCTTAGAGGGAACACTGGTCCCAACACTCCGATTCGGCTGCGGATTTGGGAGGGGGGAGCTTTGGGCTCCTAAATGGCCACACCTCGAAGACTGAGCCTGCGGTCACACCCCCTAAAGAATCCGCTTCCCGTCCGCTTTCGATGCACTTTCCAAGGGGATTTTGTCAGGCCACACTGAAAGTGGATTGAAACTGGATTATTCGGTGTGTGTGACCGCAAACCCAAGAGGTGGGGTCGCTCCAGGGCTGAAATCAAAGGAGGCTCTTGGAGAGGGAACTGCCCCCGCTGGGCCTGGCAAGGAACAACAGAGGCATTTCGTGCGGGGCCTGCAGCAAATCATGTGATGCGTTCTTCCCCTACTCTAAGACCACTCATTTCAATGGGCTTAGACACTGAGCTGTGGAAAAGATACCCAACCGCGCAGCGTATCAGGTCCAGGCCGGTAGCCAGGATTTTTTAAATTGGGGGGCATATAAATTTCTTAGGGGGCACTGGCTAATCGAATTAAACCAAAACCAAGCCCCTGCATCTGCCACCACTTGGGGGCCCTGAACTGGATGGGAAGTCCTAGGGCTTTGCCAGTAAGTCTAGCCCCGGATGCTCAACTGTGGCTACGGGCCTGATCAGGTCTTTCCCCAGCCTTCAGACCTTTCCATCCCCTCTCTCCATCAAGCTAAGCAGGTAAACACCTTCCCTGTTCCGTGGCAAGAGGGAGCCAACTGGGGGGGGGGGTCGGACTGAAATCCAGTCCCTTTATAGGATAGATATAAATAGAAAAGAAGAGAAGAGATTGGATTTATACCCCACCCTTCACTACCCAAAGGTGTCTCAGAGCGGCTTACAAACTCCTTTCCCTTCCCCTCCCCACAACAGACACCCTGTGAGGTAGGTGGGGCTGAGAGAGCTCTGAGACAACTGCTCCTGAGACAACAGCTCTGAAAGAACTTGTTACTGACCCAAGGTCACACCAGCAGCTGCATGTGGAGGAGTGGGGAATCAAACTCTGTTCTCCCAGATTAGAGTCCGAGCACTTAACCACTACACCAAACTAGGTAGTGGGTGGCCCTGGCTCCTGTCCCACACACGAAAGTATCCACTTTCAATGCACTTCCCAACTGGATTTTTTACTGTGTGAACTGGCAAAACCCAATTCGAAAGTGCCTTGGAAGTGGATTCTTTCCTGTGTGTGACCACAGTGCCTGTGTCTATGGGAAAGGAGGTGACTGGAACCCAATTCAGGCTGCGGTCACACACACACTCAATAGCCCAATTCCAAGGCACTTTCTGTGCATTTTCCAACTGGATTTTACTGTGTGAACGAGCCAGATCCCCTTGGGAAGTGCATCGGAGGTGGATTCTTTAGCCTGGGTGTGATCGCCGCTTTAGAAGGGGCGCTGTGAATCCGGCCGTTATCCCCATGTTGATAGGAATGGAATTTTCAGGCTGAATGTTCGACCCCGGAGTTGTGACCAGTGTCTGTCCACGTTTCCTCTTATGTCTGTCCTAAAAACAAAAACCAGTCCAGAGTTTAAATTAAGAAGGGCTGCGTAAAGGAGCGGAAGGGATAGCAAAGGCCCACCAGCAATGCTCCCTCTAAGATGTAGAGTCCTGTGAGCAAAAATCCTACTTTGTGAGCTGCTGGCATTCAAGTTGTGAGCGAGTGATTTGGCTCCTGCATGAATTAGTTTGCTCTGGAGCCCTCCTTCCTGAGCTAAGGCAAAAACGTGTGAGCCGGAGGCTAAAAAAACTGTGAGCTGGCTCACACTGACTCAGCTTAGAGGGAACACTGCCCACCAGCTACTTAAGCCGGAGCAGCGCCTGCCTTGGGAGGCTGAGCAGAGGCCTTCTTCGGGTTCCGCTTTCCCAGCTCGGCTTTGGGCAAAGGGCGTTCGGCTCCCTCCCCCCCACTTACGCGAGGCTTCCTCTTTTACAATGAAACTTCAAGACTCGGGAACGCCCGTTTTTGTTCTGTACATTTTATTGGAAAACGAAACCCCGCCCCCCCCGCCGCCCCGCCCACAACAACTCTGTACACGGCGACATTCCGGACCAACCGACCAAAACCTTAATACATAAGTGCAAATTATACTCTCCGGTTTTTTAAAAAAGCGATAGTGTGTGAGCGTACACAAAGGTTGATTTTTTTAAAAAAAATCGTTATTTTAAAATGCTGTGCTATAAACAAAGTTGTTTTTTAAAAAATAAAAAAAAGACAAGGAAAACAACCTTCATTCCAAACGTGATATCGTCGCAGGACTGCAAAGCCAAAAACGAAAAAGGGAAGGAACGAAACGCGGCCATTTCGCTGGGAGCGGCGCGTCGCACGAATCAATTCACAGTCCCCCAAACCACGCCTGCCAATGCTGACCGGTGCCAGGCGGCCTTGAAAGTGGGAAGCCAAGACAGCCATGGGGGGGGGGGGGACCCACTTTCTCTCTCGTTGGCTGTGGGCATTTCTGAAAGGCTACTGGAGAACACGAAATAAGTTAGGCGACTTTCCCACGAGAGCCGGGGCTCCGATCCGCCCCGAAGGAAGCATTTCGATTCAGTGGGCTTTCTGGGTAAACGTCACCTTGGGGACTCGACGGGACTCGAAAGTGCGCAACGTTCTCTGGACCGAGGGGTGGTGGCGGCGGCCTCTTGGTAAAATTCTAGGGACCCCCCCCAAAAAAAGTGAGGGTTATTTTAATTACAGGGGCCTGTTCAGCCTGGGGGGGGGGCAGCGCGAGTCCTCAAAGTTCTGCGGAACTCAAGTCGCTACAGAAACAAGTTCGAGTCCAGGGGGAACCTCGACGACCCGCAAAGTTTTATTTCTGGTAGAAGGTTCCATGTGCAGCAGGCACACTGAAAAGGAAAGCTTCTACCCGGAAAGCTTCTACCCGGAGTGAAACTTTGTGGGCCTTCAAGGGGCCCCCTGGACTCGAACTGGGTTCTGCTGGTTCAGCCCAACCCGGCTACCCTCCTGAAGCTACCGAGTCGCTGTATTTAGGTTTTGCTTTGCTTTGCTTCCGTCTACAATGTTCCCTCTAAGCTGTGGGCTCTCGTGAGCAAAAATTCTACTTTGTGAGCTCCTGGCATTAAAGTTGTGAGCGAGCCATTTGGCTGCTGCATATATTAGTTTGCTGTGGAGCCCTCCTTCCTGAGCTGAGACGAAAATGTGTGAGCTGGAGGTTAAAAAACCGTGAGCTAGCTCACACTAACTCAGCTTAGAGGGAACCAGTAAAAGCCAGGCGCGCAGCCGGTGGGCCTGCCTTCGAGGAAGCCCGGCGGACTCACGGGGAGCCGGGCTGGCTTGGCAGAGTCGACAGCCCGGTCTGCTGCCCCCCCAAGACACGCGAGACCCTCCCCCTGCCCACCCACGGCGATTCTCTGCCCTCTCCAGACGGGAGGCAGAAGGAGCTCCGCGCCTCTGGAGGCTCAGGCCGCGACCCTGGCCCGGGAGGAACGGGGGGAGGCTGCCTTCGCTGGCCAGTCCCCCCGTCACTTCCTGGGGGGCGAGTCCCGTCGCCACCGGAGGCTTCAGCCGGCAGAGTCCGGCGCTGCGCGGAAACCCCCAGCGGCTTCCTTCGGGTCCGCCCTCCTGCCCCTCGAGCCAGAGTCTGGGGGCGGCCGCCGGGCACGTGAAGACACCCGGACCCGCCTCGTGCTGGATCCGACCCGTGGTGGCCCGTCACAGTCAGCCTTGCGCCTCCTCCGACGCCTCCCCAGGGCACCTCCGACGGGCAGCAGAGGCCGTTCCCCTCGCCTCCGACCTGGTCCTTCGCGCTGGAGACGCCGCGGTGGGGGATCGAACCCGGGACCTTCGGCACGCCAAGCAGAGGCTCTCCCGCGGAGCCACCGGGCCGGGCAGGCGAAGGCCGGGGCCGGAGCGCGCTCACATGACGCAGGGCTTGATGTCCTGGCAGACGCTCTGGTGGGGGTGCGGGTGGTAGTAGGAGCCGCCGGCCGACGGGTGGAAGGACGAGATGCCGTTGAAGTTGAGGACGAAGTCCTTCCGGTCGCACACCGGCGGCGGGTGGTGCTGGTAGCGGGGCAGGCCCACTGCGGAGGGAAGGAGAAAGCGAGAAAGGGTCACCCAGCGCCGCTCCGGCGGGCAAGACTGTCCCGAGCGGGGACCCCCCTCCTCCCAGGTTGGATCTTCCGCCGGCTCACGGCCTGCCAGGCGGATCCCACCCACCCACCCACCCACCCGGCGGGTGCTGCCAATCCCGTGGAGAAGAAGGCCGCTCCAGCACTGCCATTTCTGTCACTCCTTTGTCTCTGTTGCTTCAGGGTTCCCCCCCCCCCATGTGTTTTGCTCTCTCTAGTAGTCCCAGAGGGAGCAAGAAAAGGGGGGGGGGCAAAGCAATAGGTGTGGACAGTGTGGAATTTGGATCAAGACCTGGGCTGCTATCACACACACGAAAAAAATCCACTTTCCAATCCACTTCCTAACTGGCTTGTGTGTCAACTGGCAACATCCAGTTGGCAGTGCATTGAAAGTGGATTATTCCGTGTGTGTGACTTCTCCAGGGAATGCTTGGTTGCAGTCCTAAACACACTCAGGAGTACATTGCCTTTCTAAGGAAACAGTCAAAATTTAAGACAGCTTCCAGTCCAGTCCCCCCTTCCCTTGGGTACACCCAAGGCCTGTGTACACCCAAGTCCTGCAAACCGCAGCCCTGACAATTTACAATGCAATCCATTCCCTTACCAGAGTCTTTTGAGTATTACAAGTTGAAAATACTCAGTATATCTGGGGTTAAATGTTTGTTTATGTTACTCACAGGAAGTCACATGTTTCTCATGTAACCAATGTTCTTTAGCTGTAGATTACCCAAGAATTTTCTCCCTGATCTAGGAATTTGATTGGGACTAAAGTGTCAAGGTGTATTAGCATTTTATGGCTCTCTTCCCATCTTTGTTCAGTGTTCTGAAGAAGAAGAAGAGTAGCCATAATCTCTGTCTCCTAGTTTTGTCTTTGTAGAGTAAGGATGTAGCAGATTTTGCTCTGTTGTTATTTTCATCCCGGTTACCCTTCCCATGCTAGAATTTAGTAAAAACTTTATATTTTAATCATACATGGATTCTGAGTCTGAATTATTTTACTCCGACACTGCTGGACCATCTTATCTCTGCTAAATACCATTTTTTCAATATCTCACTATCACCCAACAAAGGTTATGGTATGCCGAGATCGATTCCGCTGCACCAGTTAGCTAAGCATAGTGCACAGCCAGACTTGGAGTCAAGAAAAATCATGTGCGCTGGAGTTTTCTAACACAGAATGTTATTTTAACTCGCATTGGATTTATGAAATTCAGACAACATCCTGTTTTCTTCATGAATTTGTGGGACCAGACTAGCTGCCTGTGTTTCCAAGTCGGAGAAGCCTGTAGTGTTTGATCTGTCTTCTTCCCGTGCCGTGCGAAAGAAAAATAAAATCCCGCACTCACAAAAGATCACCCATTGTCCTCACCACTCTCTGGTTTTGGTAATGTATTAAGAGGAGAAATCTGCAACTAAGAATCTTGCTTTTTTCAATATCCCCACCTTAGACTCAAGTAATTTCTGTTGGTGGAAGACATCAGAAGGAATGCCCTTCAGGCTCATGGAGCTGTTTCCGTGCTCACTGAAGACCCTCCTGCAGCAGGAGCCACTCTTGAAAAGTACAGAGAGCGTGATGGTTTTGGAATGTCTTTAATTATGGGAACCGTGAATACTACAGATAATCCGGAACTGTTAGAGTGCACGTCTATGAAACAAATGATGTTGAAGCTTGAACAAACTTATGCTTTGAAAAATGATGCTAATTACTTGTTCCTTTATCAAAGATTAATAAATGCAAAAATGAGAAATGGTGAATCACTACTTAAACATTTGAATTATGTCATGGATGGTTATAATGCAATGGAAGGTTTGGAAGGTGCACCAGGGGAAAAAGCTGTTGTTGCTGTGATTCTTGGTTCTTTGACCAGAGAATATTTGCATGAAGTGGCTGTTTTAAAGGGGACAAAAGACTTAAAACTGGAATATGTGTTAGCATATCTAAAAGATGAAGAACATAGACGTGAAATGTCACCGGACTACAAATTACTTGTCTGTACTCAGCATAAAGCCTGATTATAAAAGGGATAATGCCAAAACAGTCTAAAATGCCACAACTGTGGGAGATTTGGCATATAGCAAGATATTGTAGATCAAAGACTTTACCAGAACAAAGAGATCGCCCCACATCTTACCGCTCTGAAACCAGACCCACTAAGGGGCGTGGGCAAGGAAAGCCAAGTAAGCTTAGCGGTCACTCTGAGAAACGAGGTGTGTTTGTTATAAGAGAGAAACAGCAGAGAGCTGATGTTGTGAAGCAGAACAATAACATGAAAGCTTTGTCTGTCACTAAGAGAAATGATGAGCAAAATGATTCATTTTTACTAGATAGTGGAAGTGCATATCATATAGTGAATTCAGACAAATGGTTCACTGATTTGGACAGAGAAAAGAGGCCTGCTCTACAAGGGGCAGAAGGCAAAAATCTCTCTGTTAAACTGTATGCTTTGAACAATTGCAATGAGATTGTGGAAATCACACTCAGAGAATGTTCTAATTTCCCAAACCATAAATAATCTCATATCTACAAAGAGAATCATGCAAAAGGGTCTTAATATTGATCTCAGACCAAGCCATGGAAAAATTTGGAGTGAAAATAGATTTAATGTAATGCTTGAAGAAAAGGATGGTTTTCATTACCTGAGAAATATTGCTGATACTGATTTAGATGAAATGGAAAATGATGGGCTGGTATGCCAAACCAGATCAACTGAATGCAACCATAAAGACTGTTTATTCGCGTGGCATGTAAAATTTGCACATAGCAATGTGA